TGTAAAGGTTGTCAGATGACTTCACGTGACATAAAACAGTGTCATGATTAGAAAGTCCGACCTTTGAAGCAGCATACTTTGATTATTTTAGTGAGTTATGAATTGCAAAAATAATTATCAGTTTTTATGGTATGACATCCTTTTAAATAATGATGGTATCTCATGTGATTTAATTTATATTAAGACATCTAGAACTGATATGTTTCATATTTAGATCCTATTAGCAAAAACTAATAGGATTACACTCTAAAAGAAAACATGAAAAAGAGACCACACTAATTCAATAACATGTAATGTATTCCGGAACATCCCTACCTGCCGCTTTGTACGTTGTCCACCAACTCCAGTCCTAACTGTGAATGTTCTATAATGAGATTCTGCCCAGTGACCACTGCAGCTCTTCCCCCAATAGGGAGAGGGCTGGAAGAAGTCTGCAGAACACGCTGTCTCAAAACTTCAATTTGCCACATGAAAGAGAAAGCAATTCGGAGGAATGAGAAATACAACTCAGGAATCTAACGTCGAGTTAGGATGCTTTTTCGTGAAACATATATGGGGTATCAGAAGGTACAAATGTGATCACCATATTTTTAAAAATATTTTAAGATCATGCATGATTTTTTAAATGCCACCGAATAAAAAGATAAACAAACAGCTTACGGCTGTAAGTGACATTTGATTATTCTTTATATTTCTGGAATTTTAGATAATTTTTGACATTCGTGGAATTTTCATATTTGTTAGCAGCACTATAGATTACATTTCTGGGGGAATATGGATCTTGTTTTAAATAAGTATACAACAATATTCATCATATATTTGTGATCATTTTATAATACTCTAGAAAAACTCTATTTGTGGTACCTGCCCACTCTTATGAAATTAAAATAGGCTAAAGATAAAGTATAAATGTCAATTAGCAGCTTGTATTGCCATAATCATGGATCACCTCACAACAATCCAATCAGAGAGTTGCACTTGCCTCTGAATTTCTAAAATCATTTGAAACCCCTATTAACAAGCGCATATTTGTACTCATTATAAGACTTCTTGGTATAGCATGCTAATTACTTTCCTGCACTCTGGCTCCCACATCACAATGAATTCTATTATAAAAGCAAATCACTGCAAACTTCAAACAGCGTGCATCATTGAGATGCCACTATTAAAGGAAGAACAGTGATGGGAAATCTTTGATGTTATCAGATATGAGGGGAAATACACATTTGTATTAGAGTAAAGCCTGTGTAGAGAGGAGCATTTCCCCCCACCTTTAAATAACCTGAAGCCAATTTCAAGTTCCCAAATGCTCTTCAAAGCATCCCACCTTTGGAAGTAATACTGATGGCATTTCACATTTTAAGGCAGCTTGTTTTTTTGGTACCTCAAGGCTTCAAGCAGATTTGCAATTTTCCTTTCAAAGAGAAAGGATATTACCTACTTTTACTCACACCGCTAGCCTCTGGTTTGATGCGCAAAATGTCACAGGGAATGAACTTACCTGTGGCCATGAAAAGATGGGACGTAAGCGTGCCCCGGAGTCAGAATAATGTGCAGATTCTAGGGAATCCTAAGCTGTGTTTAGATACTTCATGTTTTAGTTCTTTCTTGTTCTTGTGTTGTTGACCAAAAGTTGGAATGTAAATTCGGGGCATGTGGCAGGACAACTATACAGAACTGTAAATAATCCATCCCGTCCTGAATGGGGCATCTGTGAAGCTGAGGATAAAAATGGGTGTGTGCTTCACTCCAACACCCACAGGGAGCCCGGGCCACACAATTAAGAACATTCATACTGTGAGTAATTCCTGTACAGGAGGGTCAGTCTGTGGCTTCTTAAAAGGCTTCAGATCTGTGGTCAGCAGAAACAGTCAGGAACGTATTTGGGCTAAAAGGATACAGTAGCCCTAGTGAAGTTCCCCTAGCATTTCATTACGTTTCTTGTAATTGCTTTAAGTAAAAGGGGTGAGGGGAATGAAACCTGAAGTTGTCATCTTGGGACACAAAATATTTGTATGTGGTTTAATATCCTGAGCCCATTGGTTGCTGCTCTGCATTTTGGAAAGAGCCGTTGGAGTCCTGAGGAAACACACACAGCAAGTTTATCAGCCCTTCGGTGACAGTAAATTACTGCAACAACTTTACAGGAAGAGCTTTGTTTCCAGTAAGTGAGTTTCTGCACGAAGAGAGAAGGTAGAAACAAGTAAAACAGGCCAAAGTACTAAACACCAGAAAGTGGAATTTTTTAAGGGTCGGGGGAGGGGTAGAAAAGCTGTGCTCCATCTTTGTGTGGATTTCTAGCTACTGGCAAATGAGAATGATTACGTGAGACAGGAAAGTGAGCGGCCTAGGCAGGGCCAAGAGACAGGGAAGAACGTAGTGTTATTTGTTCATAAACTAGGATTTTCGCTGTGCGGTCATTTTATCAGTTGAATATTTACTAAAATAATAAACCGGTCTTTTCATAAAGGGGTGAGGGATTGGATATTCCAGTTACTAAGAGGGGTAGAGGGAGGTGGAGGAGGGTAAAGGAGGGATAAATGGTGATGGAAGGAGACTTGACCTGCAGTGGTGAGCACACAATTGTGTACAGATGACGTGTTGTAGAATTGTGCACCTGAAACCTGTACAATTTTGTTACCAGTATCACCCCAATAGATTTAATAGAAAGAAAAAGAGAAAATTATTGTCAAGCTGATCACTCTATAAACATAAGAGAATTCTTAATTTCCAAAATTTAAAAATAATTTTAAATATACTATATAAGTCTTGACAATAGAGCTGCCTCTCAGGGTCTTGCCCTGCCCGAGGATTTGTAAAACCCACTTTCTTGGGCTTCATTCCAGTTCAGAGACTCATGAGTGGACCTAACAGCTTAGTCATTTCTGTGACTCAAGTCCCATCAGCTTTTGATAGAAAATAATTGTATGTTCCCAAGTGGGACAGCACCTACTTCTATTGGGTAGTTAATTTCCCTGAGTGCTGTTACCCATTTGAGCAAGTCCTAGGTTTTAGGGAAAGTTCTGGGAGACTCCTTTTTAGGATCTCTAGCTGATACCTTTTTCATGTCACCTATACCCAAACGTCGTGATCAAACATTACAAGAAATCATAACTTTGATGAACTAATTAAACTCTAAAGAACTAGTTAAACTAGATCTTGTACATATCATACATACATCTTTTTTTAAAAAATTCTCATCTGATTGTATCATCTACTTGGCTTAAAACACTTTAATAATATCCATGACTCTTAGTGAGAAATTCAAAATCCTAAACATGGTCTACAACAGTGGTCCTCAAGCTGTAGCAGGCATCAGAATGCTTGGAGGGTTTGTTAAAACACAGATTGCTGGGCCTGGTTCTCAAGGTTATTTATTCACTCTGAAGTGGGACGCAAGAATTCACATTTCCAAGAAATTCCAGGTGATGCTAACACAGCTCTCCCGGGGTCCACACTGAGAACCGCTAGTCTGTCTACGAGACTATGTAAACTGGTTCCTTCCTTATCTCTAGTTCATCTCATGCCATTATTCTCTGTGTCTGGGGCTTAATTGTCTTCTCCTGGGACCTCAATCTTCCCAATCTCTTTCCTGCTTCTTCCCATACGTCCTGTCCCTCTCCGCATATAATTTAACAAACCTAATTCACATTGGATCTTTTATTCCCCTTGTTATTCATTCTAAGTGTCTCTCTGTGTCTCCTTTGCAGCGCTGAACACAATTATACTTAAATAATAAAGTGTACGATCTGTAGTGAATATGTTCCCTCCTCATAATATCAGTTCATTGAGAACAATCACTACCTTACTCATCATTTCCCAAGTGCCTAGTCCAGTGTCTTTTATATAATTGATACTTAATAAACATGTGTTCATGAATAAATGAATGAATGAATGGGAGAAAGCAATGCATTTAATCTTTCTTCCTGTGCTCCTGCTTGAGGCAGAGCACATTCTTCTACCCCCTGAGGGGTGCGCCTGTTAGTTCTCTAAATCGACACTCCATCTGGAAAGTGAGCGTTCATTCTTCAGGAGAACTGACAGCTACCTGGGCACATCTTCGAGATCATCGTTCTTGCTCGGTGCAAAGAGGCGAACTGTAGAACGAATCTCTGAAACAGGCTTTGATACCTCAAGATAAATACCCCTAAAATGATCATCTCAGATTCTTAATTTATATTATTTAGGATTATGTAATTTGGTGAAACAAATTCCAATTATTTGAGCATTTTAGCGGGAGCATATTGTACCTCTAATCAGATTTTGGTTATGTGACGATTACAGAGAAACATTTGAGCTTTCAAAATAGTACACATGAAAACCTTAAAGTCACACATTCTTTGGATAGAATAGCAGAGGTTCGTTACCTAAGCCTAGAATATCTTTCAATATAGTCTATTGAAATATATAACCGAAACACAAGTGTTCAAGTAACTTTGTTGTTAAGTAATCACCACATATTTATAAATTACTAGGTGATATAATAAAACCTGATATATAGGTACACATATTTCTGAGCTATGCACTGATTATAGCTTTAGGTGGTTCCCTCCCTCACTTCCTGTGAACCAAATCGCCTTAGGAAGACTGAGGTCTGTAATTCTGTGTACAGCATGTTGGTCTCTTCCCCACAACCTATATAATTGAGGTAGACTCCTTAGACTCTGTGAAATCCAAGTTCACATTTAAATATACAGAAGATAACTTGGTGGGGGATGACTACCAGGCCATCTGTGGAAAGGTATAAATTTGTGGAGTGATAGATCCTCACTTCCATCTCTTGATGAATCCAGAAGATTTGAAATAGCAAATAAGAGAATGAAAAGGTTGTGAGCCGAGTTACTGGAGCCAGAGGACAGAGGAGAGGAGAGGCAATATCAGGGATGTTGATCTATGGCATCAAGAGGGATCACTGAGGGGAAAAGCAATACATGGCACGATGCTTTGTATTTCTTTCATACAAATCTTCTCCTGACTTAAATCTTCCTGTGTCTGCTTAGGTCTCATCGTCCGGGAAGTGAGCATTGAGATCTCGCGCCAGCAAGTGGAAGAACTCTTTGGGCCCGAAGATTACTGGTGCCAGTGCGTGGCCTGGAGCTCCGCGGGCACCACGAAGAGCCGCAAAGCCTACGTGCGCATCGCATGTGAGTCATCGCGCGGACCCCGCGGGGCCCCGGACCCCATGGGCCGGGAGAAAGTGTGGATGGCGAATGCCCCAGCATCAGAGAGCTGGTCAAAAACGTTTCTGGATTTCTGCATTTGAGCTGCACTTTTCCTTTAAGTCGCCAGAATATTACTTTATTTTCTGTTTCAAGGCCCTGAGTAGTTTTCCTTTAGGGACATGAAAAAAAAAAAAAAAAATAGTGCTACTTCAAAAGATTCTGAATTTTTTTTTTTTTAAATCTGGTAATAATTAGGTTATGGAAAAGCCAACTGTATTCCTTTAATGAGTTTATTCTGCCAATTTGTTAAGACAATGTTGACTAGTTTTGCTATTGGGAACAAAGAGTATCCAGACAAAGCTTCTCTGTTTATTTTGGAAATGTTCTAGTGCATCAAAATTACTGCTATTTTCCACGCTGCGTTCCTTCCTAGAGTCTCCATGTTCAGGGAGAGGTTCAGAGGTGCCTCACAAAAAGGGTTCTGTAGTCAAATCAGTGTTGCAAATACCTTTTTTTTGGCCAAAGTTATAGAAGCTTTTTCATTGCAAAACTCCTCAGATTCTTTAGTATGCTAATATATAACACGCGGAGTTAATATGCTAATATTATCCCCAAGAAGGAGAGAGAGCCTGCAGCTCTTTCTGCAGACTCCTTTTTCCAATGCATACTGTTCGCATCACGAATGCTGCTGTAATCTGTGTTAAGGTTGCAGACTGAGACATTTTCTCAAGTATGAAATCCAGGTAAGTTTTATTAACTGAATCCCTTTGCAGATGTGCATTTTACTCACTCCTCCTGTGTGGCAGATGTCAATATCACTTATCTCTAAATGTCACTGGGTTTCCAACAGTCCTGGCTGCAATGCATCCCCAATTTGACACTCACCTCTTCCTTCCTGTCACCGTGATATAGACCGCAACCACTGTACATACTTCCCAGTCCTTCTTCCACATCACCCACAAACGCAGTCTGCCTAAAACCCGGGTCTCATCTCATCTCTTCCTGCTTAAAATTGTACAGTGGCTTGTGTGAAAAAGTCAAAATTCCTTACAAGGGAATATAGCATTATATTAATTTGTTAGGGCTACCATAAAAAATACCAGAGCTGATGGATTTAACAACAGAAACATTTCCTCACAGTTCTGGGAGCTAGAAGTCTAGGATCGAGATGCCAGCAGTATTGATTTCTTCTGTAGCCTCTGCCCTTGGCTTGTAGGTAGTTCGTTTCACGTGGTCTTCCCTCTGTACCTGTCCAGGTCCACATTTGTCTTCTTACTAAGATTATCAGTCATTTTGGATTAGGGCCATCCTTAAGCCCTCATTTAATTTAATTACCTCTTTAAAGGCCTTGTCTCCAAACAAAGTCACTTTCTTTCTTTTTTTTTCTTTCTTTCTTTATTGATTTTTAAAGAGAGAGAGAAAAACATCAATGAGAAAGAACATCAAGTGGCCGCCTCCTGCATGTCCCGCACTGGGTATCAGGCCCACAACCTGGGCATGTGCCCTGACTGGCAATCAAACTGATGACCTCTTTTTGCACTGGTTGACGCTCAACTACTGAGCCACACCGGCAGGGCAAAAGTCACATTCTGAGGTACTGGGACTTAGGACTTCAATATGTGAATTTTGGGGGACACAACTCAGCCCATAACACCAGATTTCATGGCTTACATATCCTGACCATGTTTCCAGGGTTGGCCACTAAGAATTTCTCCATTCTAGTCACACTACATTAGAAATACTTTGCTTTCGCCCTGGCCAGTTTGGCTCAGCGGTTAGAGCGTCGGCCTGCGGTACGGAGAGACCCGGGTTCGGTTCCTGCTAAGGGCACGTACTTCGGTTGCAGTTTGTCCCCGGCCCTGGTTGGTCGTGCGGGTGGCAGCCACTCGATGTGTCCCTTCACGTCAATGTTTCTCACTCTCTCTCCCTTCCTCTCTCTCCCTCCCACTCTATCTGTACAAAAAATGGAAAATATCCTCGGGTGAGGATTAAAAAAAAAAAGAAATACTTTGCTTTCTATGCTTTCCAGCTATTGTTCATAATGAAGGGTTTCACTTCATTGTTTGTAAAAATGCAGCAAATATTCAACAAATATTTAGCAAACATGTTCTCTTTTCGTGGAACAATTGTAGATATTAGGTAGGAAACCCGAAACAAAGCATGTGATGGCCCTTGCCTGCCCTCATGGAGCTCATGTTCTGGTGAGGGAGACAACGCGACACATAACAAGTAATAATCAGGTACAGAGCAAGTGGTAAGTTCGATGAGCAAAACAGGAAAGGGTACTGATAGTGCCGGGCAGCGGGGTCAAGGAAGGCCTCAGGAAGAAGCTGCCAGTTGCAGAAACCGGAGGGGAGGGGCGAGGGAGTCAGGCAGAGGGAACAGACGGGTATCTGGCAGAAGGCTGGCTGGTTCCAAGAAGACAAACGGGCCAGAGTGGCTGGAAGAGGGTGCGTGAGACGAGACTCCTAGATGAGCTGAGAGAGGTACAGCATGGAGGTCGGGGTGGGAGCGTCAGTGTAGAGATGGCCTGAGACTCTGTAGGTATAACATCTTTGGTTCCTAGTAAGAGATGGGAGATTTGGAATGTTTTCAGCAGAGGAATTCGTAACCTGGCTGTCATTTGAGCAGAATCACCTGATTGCTGTATTGGGAAGGGACCATGAGGGACAAGGGTAGAAGCAGGAAGACCAGTCATGAGGCTGCAGCTGGGAGAGATGATAGGCGACCACACAGAAGCAGTGGGGGTGGTGCGATCTTGATTCTGGACCTATTAGAATGGCAGAGGTACAGGAACACCTCGATAAAACAAATTAATTTGGGTGACGGGGGGGTGGGGTGTGTCCATTAAAGCTGAAGGTCCATTTAATAATACAGTATAATTTTAGAATAAGTATGTTAAAAAATGGACAAATTAGTTTACCTCTTTTTACTTATGTAGACACATTTGTGTAATTAAAATAAAGTATGTGTGAAAAGTTTAAATTCACAGAAAAGTTTACTACATGTATTACTGAAATTTTAAATTTATACTGAATAGCCCGGCTGGTGTGGCTCAGTGGTTGAGCATCGACCCATGCACCAAGAGGTTGCGGGTTTGATTCCTGGTCAGGGACATGCCCAGGTTGTAGGCCCGATCGATCCCCAGTTGGGGGGCATGCAGTTGGTGGCCAGTCGATGTTCTCTCTCATCAGTGTTTCTATCTCTCTCTCTCTCCCCCTTTCTCTCTCTCTAAAATCAATTAAAAATTTTTTGAAATAAATTTATACTGAATAGGTCTAGTAAATGCATGCATTACCTCCAGTAAACAAAAGGACACAGCTGGGGTATGGTTTAGTGCACATCAGAACATTGCTGCAGAGCCCTGGCTGGTTTGCCTCAGCTGTTAGAGCATCAGCCCATGGACTAGAATGTCATGGGTTCGATTCCCAGTCAAGGGGTCATGCAGAAGGCAGCCAATCAACTGTATCTCTGTCATATCAATGTTTTTCTCTCTCCCCACCTCCCTTCCATGTGCTGTGATCCTGTGCTGACCATCTGCAGAATGTTGCTGATGAGCAGTGACTCTTGGATTTAAATATGTAGACTATATTATAGATATGTAACATTTATTTAAGTTGGCAATATTACTAGTTTTCCCCCCAAAATATGGCCTATTTATTAACATTTGATAAAAATAACAGTGAATTAATTTAAAAAATAAATTGTTGATTTAATTATAAGCAAATCGTGGTTAAAAACATTTTAAAATTAACAGGGTGTTAATTTTCAAATGTGTCACGCGGATCATAAATTTTCTCCATTAAATCCGAAGTCCACTGAATCCAGGTTTGAAAATCGAAGAACCGTTTACTGGAATGGCTTTTGTTGAGCGATTGGAGGTGGGATCTGAAAGAGAGGAAAGAATGCTTCAAATGTCCTGAGCTTTTTAAAGATTTCTTTTAAATGTCCTTAGTGAAGGCATTCCTGCCCCAGGAGTCTCGGGAGCGATAGGCATGTCCTTTCTCAACACTTTCGGGGCAGTTGCCCTTCACACAGGACTTGTCTCATCTGAATTGTCCTTACTGGTAACATCTGTGTTTTGTGCCAGTGAGTTCCTTGATATCGATTATGCTTGATTTTGCTTAACTATATCTTTAATGTTTAGCACAATGCCTAGAACTTCATAGATGTTTAATAAATTTTGTTGAATTAAAACGGCTATAAAGAATTCCTGAAGCCCTGGCCGGTTTGGCTCAGCGGTTAGAGCATCGGCCTGCGGTCCGGAGAGACCCGGGTTCGGTTCCCGCTAAGGGCATGTACCTCGGTTGCAGTTTGTCCCCGGCCCTGGTTGGTCGTGCGGGTGGCAGCCACTCGATGTGTCCCTTTCACGTCGATGTTTCTCTCTCTCTCTCTCTTCCTCTCTCTCCCTCCCACTCTATCTGTGCAAAAAATGGAAAAATGTCCTCGGGTGAGGATAAAAAAAAAAAAAAAGAATTCCTGAAGTTTATTAAAATGCTCTATATTAATCATTCCTCTCTGATCACACCTAAAGAAATTTCTTATGTGGGTTCTTCATGAAATAGACAGAGATGGAGACATGTACGAAGGCAAATGTATTAAAGAGAGTCCTTAGGAGCAGCATCGGTGGAGAAAGGCAGCAGCCGTAGTGGGCAGAGGGAGACTCTGAGCTGCAGTGGGAGCTCTGGCGCTCAGAGGGCCCTTCAGTGTTGTCCCACCGAGGCACCGGAGGTGAGCAGGCCTTTACTCCCCACATAGATGAGTGGGTGGACGTGGGCTCCCCCTTTGGCACTCACCCCCACCAGCTTGTATGACCTGGGTCCAGTCAGCGCTGCTCCAACGAGGGCAATTCCAGGACAGAGACTGAGAACCTTGGCTGCCAACACTCCCAATAGGCGGGATCAGTCCTGAACAGGGACCTTGGTCGCCTGCCACAACTTCTGTTACAATTGTCGACCAAAAATCTTGAAGAATTTATTTTA